GAGCTTGTCTTCGGGTCTCTGCTCACAGTGCTGCAAGGAGTTCCAGGGCGCCTTCTGAGGTGCGCTGTCTGTGGGTGCGCAGTTCCCCGGCCGGCAGTTCTCCGTGGTAGAAGTGGAAGTGGAGTTGTTCGGATGAACCGAAGCGAGAACGCCATTCGTTGCCTCCCTGGGCTGCGTCCAGGTGCTGGGCGATTCTGCTGAATGCTCCGTGGCTGTCGTGGGGCAGTCCTTCGTTCTGGGCGACTGTTATCAGGCAGTGGGCGAAAGCCCCCCACAAGAACTCGGCGGCAATCATCTCGTTGCCGCCGTCTGCTGCTGATTCTTGGTCGGCCCGCCTCATGAGTTCGCGGGCCATGCTGAGGTGTTCTTCCTGGTTCATGGGGCCGCCTGTACGGCCAGGCTGGTGGCCAGTTCGATAGCGGTCGTGGCGAAGCTGAACCCGTTTTCTTCTGCGTCTTCTGGATATTCAGCGTAGGTTCCGAACTTGAGGCTTTTTGGCAGTCCCATGCTGGCGCCCATGGAGGCGCTCATGTGTTGCCCCGATACTTTTTCTCTAACCGACGTTAACAACGCTGGTTGCGATGCACGCTGATTGCATCAGCGAGGGTGTATCTCCCAAAGCCCGCAGGAATATCCCGCGGGCGCCGTTGATGTCGCGTTCGACGCGGAGGCCGTCTGAGCTCTGGATCCAGCGGCGGCCTCCGAGATTGGCGACTATCTCTCCGCTCCAGCTGCAGGTCTTGCTGGTGTACGCCTCGTTGACCAGCAGCACCTGTTTGCCCGTCTCCCAGGCCTTCCATAGCAGGAACCGCTGGAACCGGTAGTGGGCGAAGGTCAGCATCGATCGACAGCACTCTGGAGCGTATTTCCTTTTGCGCGTGTGCACCATTCGCTGGTTTCGAAGTGTGGCAGGAGGATGAGGTCGAAGTTATCGGACCAGGAATCGTGCGCCGGTGGTGGAGCTCATCGATCAGGTTGGTGATGATTCGTACCCGCATGCACGGTCCCGGCCATCCGCGGTGCGCTTTCGGAGGGATACGGCCTTGCGTTCTTGCTGAGGAGTTGGTCGAGGGGTGCGGGGCAGAGGCGTGTATCCGTCGAAGTCGTGCTTGGCCGATTTGGCCAGCGTCGGTTTCCGAGAACAGGTGAGGAAGGTGCGTATGCCGGGGTCGTCGATAGGATTGCGGGACGACGCGTGCTTGGGTCTCGCTCTTGCGCCGTTCGGACGTTGAAGGTTCGCCAGGTGATACTGGCCGTTGTGCGGGTCAGCCGGAGTCCTGGGGAACCGTCGGCAGTTGCTCGGCCAAGATTTTTTCATGCGGAGGTTTCCGAGAATGGATGTGATAGGCACCGCGCTTGGTTGCTGCCCTTCGTGGTATGTAGATCCCTGTTGGGGTGTTTGCGGTGCGGAAGCCGACTCGGCGTAGGGGTAGGGTTCATACGGCGTTCTCTTGTGCATGGCCTTGGCCAGCTTCCCTGTTGGCCTTCTTGCAGCGGGGACTGCCCGGCAGGCGGCGCGCACAAGCGATGCTCTGGATGGTAGGGGGCTGCTTGCAGCTTTCCGTGCGGAGGGGATGATCGCCGTTTTGATGTTTCTCCAGTTGGCGAACGTGCCGGGTTTACGGAGGTGGGGCGGCCGCCGACGGTCTCGTTGTAGCCACCACGTGCGGCGTCAAATCAGAGGTTCAGCGTTGTCGCTGGTCCGCTGTCGGATAGATCCTTATCCGCTTGGATTTGTTTTCGGTAAACGGGGAGCAGTAGTCCGTGGAGCGGGCAAAACTGAAGGTATGGAGGATGGCGAGAATATCCTCGGGGGGGGGGCCGGGGGGGGGGGGTTGAAGGAGGGGGGGGTGGGAGGAGGAGGCGGGGTAGCGGGGACGGGGGTGGGGAGAGGGCAGGGAGAGAGCGTCAGGGCAGGCGCGCGGCGGCGGCGGGTGAGTCGCCGGGGGGGGGTGAGTGAGGGGGGGGGGGGGTGGGGGGTTGCGGGGCGGACTGTGTAGGGGGGTGGGGGGGGGGGGGGTGGGTGGTGTTTGCCGGGCGTTGACGTGGGCGGTTGAGAGGGAGGGCGGGGAGGGTGCACGAACGGGGGGCTGGGAGTGGACGGGTGGTGGTGTCGAGTGTGGAGGGTGCCCCCAGTTTTTCAGGACCCGGGGGGGGGTGGCGGGGGGGGGGGCGGGGGGCTGGGGGGGGGCGGGGGGGGGGCCTGGGGGGGGGGGGTCGGGAGGCGTCCGTCAGGGCAAACAGCAGAGGGGGGCGCTTGGTGCTCGGGGGGTTGAGGGGGGGGGGGGGGGGACAGGGGAGTTGTGCACCGCGGGAGGTGGTGGGGGGGGGGGGTGTAGTGTTTGGACGCGTGACGGGGGGGGTGTGGGGCGAGCCAAGGGGGGGGGGAGTGTGGGTGTAACGTTGGGTGGGGGGGGGGTGGATTGGGTGAGGGGGGGGGTGAGTGAGGTGGTGAGGGGGGCGTGGGGGGGGTGAGGGGTTTTGATTGAGTCATGTTGGGGGCTGGATCAGTGTTGTACAGAACAGGATCTCGCCCGTTCTGCTGGCTGGGGGGGGGGCTCCATGGATGAGTTCAAAGCCGAACCTGGCGAGGCGGTCTCTGTGGGCAACACAATCTGGAGCTTATCTCCGCGAGGAGGTCGCTCCAGTAGGGAGCAAGTCCTCTTTGGGAGTTTGAGCCCGCCTTGAGTCGGAGACGATTATTTGCGCCAGGGAGACGTTCCTGCATGAACTGGACTGTCTTTGCAGGTCGTCTTTGCTTGTGGGGAGCTGACGCGGCAGGAGAAGAAGAATGGGGGGGGGGGGGGGGGGGGGAGGGAGGAGGGGGACGGGGGGGGAGGGTGGGGGGGGGAGGGGATCGAGGGGGGGGGGAGGCGAGGGGGGGGAGGGTGGAGGGAGGGGGGGGGGGGGGGGGTGGGGGGGGTCGGGGGGGAGGGTGTGAGGTGGGGGGACGGGGGGGTGGGGGGGCGGTGGGGCGGGAGGGGGGAGGGGAGGGTGGAGGAGGGTGCGGGAGGAGTGGGGTGGGGGGAGGGTGGGAGAGGGATGGAGGGTGTAGCGGGGGTGGTGAGGGTGAGGGGGAGGTGGTTGGGCGGGGGGTTGGACGGGGGCGGGAGGGTTGGGAGGGGAGGAGGGGAGGGGTGGGGTTAGCGGGGATTGCCGGGGGGAGGGGGTCGGACGGGGGTGGCGGGAGGAGGGGTGGGGCGTGGGGAGGGGGGGTGGGTGAGTGGGGGGGGACGGGATGGGTGAGGATTGTTGGGGGGAGGAGGGGGGGGGATGGGGATGTGGGAGGCCGGGGGGGAGGTTTGTTGGGGAGGAGGGGGGGGTTGCGGGGTACGTGAGGGGGGGAGGGAGTTGGGGGGTAGGGGGGGGGCGTTGGGGAGCCGCGGGGGGGGTGAGGTGGAGCGTGGGCGGGAGGGGGGGGGGGGGGAGGGGAGGTGGGCGGTGGCTCGGAGGGGGGGTCGGAGGAGGGGGGGGGAGGGGTGTGGGGGGAAGGGGGGGAGGGGGGGGTGTAGGGTGGGAGGGGGGAGGCGGGTGGGATGGAGGGGGGGCGTGGGGGGGGGGGGTGGGGGGAGTGGAGTGGAGGGGGGGGAGGGAGGTGGGGGGGGGGGTGGTGGGGTGAGGTGGGTGGGGGGGGGGTGGGTGGGGGGACGAGGGGGTGGGGAGGGGGGGGGGGGCGGAGCGGCGCCGGGGGAGGGGGGGGCGGCGGGAGGGGGGGGTGGGCGGGGGGGGGGGAGTGGGGTGGGGGGGGGGGAGGAGGGAGAGGGAGGGGGCGGAGGGGGGGTGGGGGAGGGGAGGGGGGGGCGGGGGGGGGGGGGGGAGGGGGGGGGGGAGGGGAGGGGGGGGGGGGAGGGGGGGGCGGGAGGGGTGGGAGGGGGGGGGGAGGGGTGGGGGGGGGAGGGGGGGGTGGGGGAGGGGGGGGGGGGTTGGGGGAGAGGGGGGGGGGGGGGGGGGGGGGGGAGGGGGGTGGGGGGGGCGGGGGGGGGGGGGGGGGATCGGGGGGGGATGGAGCGGCAGGAGGCGGGGGGGGGAGTGGGGGGCGAGGTGGGGATGGCGGGGGGGCGGGGGGTGGGGGGGCGGGGGAGAGGGGGACGGGGGGGGAGGCCGTGTGCGCTGTGGGAGTGGAGGGGGAGGGGGGGGGGGGGGGGACAGGGCGGGGGGTGTGGGGTGGCGGAGGGGGGGTGGGGGGAGGTGGGTGGGAGAGGGCATGGGTAGGGTGGGGGGGAGCAGGAGGGGTGGGGGGGGGGCGAGGCGGGGTGGGGAGGTGGTGGTGAGTGGGAGGTGTGGAGAGAGGGAAGCGGGTGGGGGGGGGGGCGGGGGGGGATGAGGTGGGGAGGGGGGGGGGGGATGGGAGGGGGGAGGCGGCTGACGGGGGGGAGGGGGGGAGGGATGGGGGGGGGAGGTGAGGTGAGGGGTCGGAGGTGGGGGGGGGGAGGGGGTGAGCGGAGGGCGGGAGGTGTGGTGGGGGGAGGAGGGGGGGGGGAGGGGGGGGGGGGGAGGGGGGGGGGTGAGGGGGGGGGAGGGGGGGGAGGAGGGGGGAGGGGGGGGGAGGGAGGTGGGAGGGAAGGGGGATGGGAGGGGTGCGGGGAGGGGGGGGGAGTGGGGACGGGAGGGGGGGGGGGGGGGGAGGGGGGGGGGTGAGGGGGGGAGAGGGAGGGGGGGGTGGGGAGGGGTGGGGAGTTTTGTTGCTTGTATGTTAGGGTTAGTTTTTATGGGTTAAGTCTGTGCGTTGGTGTATGTTTTTTTCTTGTCTGTGTTTTTCGTGATATTGTGTGGCTGTTTGGTTTATTTTGGTTTAGGGTGTTTGTCGTTGTTGCTGTTTGTTGTTTAGTGTATGGTGTTATTTAGGTTGTTTTCTTTTCTTTTTTCTTTGTGTTCTTCTTTTTCTTTTCTATTTTTTTTTATTTTTTTTTTTTTTTTTTCTTTTTTTTTTTTTTATTTTGTTCTTTTTTTTTCTTTTGTTCTTTTTCTTTTGTCTTTCTGTTATTTTTCCTGGGGTTTCTTTTTTTCTTTGTTTTCTTCATCCTCTGGTTTGTTTTCGTTGTTTTCGTTGTTTTCGTTGTTTTCGTTGTTTTCCTGGTTGCCTTGGAGGTAGGAGTCGACGTCATAGAGGCGCTGTCCGGCGGCGTTTCGGTAGTGGGGGATTTTGCCCTTGTTGGCATAGGACCTCAGGGTATTGGGGTGCAGCCCGAGATTGCGGCTGCCTTCCGGCTTGGGAGGTGGGCCATGGCGGTGTACGTTACCTTTCCTGATTGTTAATTAATGGTAACATATCTGCGTCTGGAGATTAGCCCCCCTCCAAGAACGGGTTGATGACTCTGACCCCGTCGTAGTCCTGCTCATGGCTCAGGTCCTCGGAGTACACGGCCTCGCAGCCCAGCATCATCGCTGCTGCCAGGATGGCGGCGTCCCAGTAGGAGATCCCGAACCCGGCCCTGATCTCGATCGCCCTGTTGAACAGTGCCACAGTTATTTCCTGGGTCGGGAGTGCCGCCAGCGGACGCAGGAACTCGACGGCCTGCTCGTGGGTCAGGCCCGCTGGCCCTTGGGGTCTGGTGGCCTGATGATAAAACTCTTGGAGTACCTGGACGGACAACGCCAGGTCCGGCTCCATCAGGGTGGCCTCGGCCCTGGTTCTTTTTCCGGCGTCGGCCTCCCGGTTGCTCACGGCGTAGATCAGTACGTTGGTGTCAGCGAGTCGCATTTCGGTCGTACAGTTCTTCTCGGGTCAGCAGCTGGCTGGTGTCCACGCCGATGCCTTCTTTTCTGAACCTGTCGAGGACCTCATTCAGCAGCCGGGCCCGCCTCTCCGGCTCGGTCTCCGCCGGCCCCGGCTCTGTAGGACATTTCAGCGTCTCCAGCAGCATATCCCGCATCATCGCCGAGACGCTGGTGCCGGTCTCGGCGGCCCGAATTCGTGCCAGCCGGTGGGTCTCATCGTCGACCGACACGCTGATGGTCTTCATAGCCTGCTCCGCAATTTATTGCTTTGTGGTTTTGTGGGTCACAGTGTAATCAATGGTCTGTGGCCGTTCAACATAGTAGTGTCATCAACCTGTTGCTGGTGGCGCCGGTGCTGCGGCGGCGCGGTCAGGCCGGATTTTCAGTGTTGCCCCTCGGCGCGGATGCTCTCAATGAGTCGGCCACATGCTGAAATACGGCCCGCACTTTCCACTCATCCACCGGGTGGAACCAGTCCATGAATTCCTCAACGGTTGCACCGCTCTCCAGATTCTCGAAGAGGGCGTACACCGGGAGCCGGGTTCCAGTGAACACCCAGTTGCCGCTGACCTTGCCCGGTACGCTCTCAACCGCTGGGCAGGTGCTCCAGTCGATCACAGGGTCATCTCCTCCTCTGGACGATCCTGTAGTCGCATCCGGCGGGAGGGTTTCTTTGGCTATAATCCTGGCAGCCTTCGGAACAGGAGCCTTCGATTTGTCAATGACGGGTTAGAAATGAGCCATTTGTAATGTCGTTGTCCAGCGAAAATGTCCCCCTAAGTGCTCAGGGAAAATGTCCGTTGGTATGGTGCTGAGTTACTGATTGGGTAGTCAGTCTGGGAGTCCGGTTGATGGGGGGAGCTGGCAAGTCGACGTACTTCCTGACCGTGTTTCTGGAAATACCCAGTTGCTTGGCGATGCCCCTCAGGGAGACACCCTGCAGCCTGGCGTGGTGGACAGCTTTCCACAGGGCCTGCTTGCGCGGCGTTGCCTGCTTGGGTGGCGGAGTGTAGGAGGTGGGGCCGTTCTCATCATTCATCGGTTGGTCGACAGGTGCTTCCAAGGCGGCCAGGCGCTGCAGTTGCAACCTGGTGAGACCATGCTGGCTCAGGTTCCTGACCACCTGGGCCAGTTCGGGAGTGGGAGCCAGTGCCCCCTGGGCGGCCCGCAGCGCTCCCGCCTTGGGCGGAGCTTCCTGGTGGGCGATCACCTTCCCCTCGTGCTGCACCATCAGCTGTCCGTCGCTCTGCTCCAGCACCTCCACCTTGACACCGGCATAGCTGGGCCGGTCCTGGGCTGGAAGCAGCTGCAGGGTGCGCAACTGGTATTTGACGGTATTGTCCCTGGTCACCTGGCGCAGGTGTTTGAAGCAGAGGACCCGTTCCAGATGCAGGGAGGAGGCCAAGGAACGATAGGCAACCTGGGACTGCTGGGCAGGCACTCGGAACTGGTTGTTGAAGCGGGGCAGGAAGTCCCGCAGCACGGCGTTGGCCTGGTCGATGGTCGCGGCTCCCGCCAGCCTGAGTTCGCTGACCAGCCGGTCCTGGAAGGTGCCGTTCATGCGTTCCACGCGTCCTTCCTGTGTCTGAACTGCGGCTATACCGCAAACGCTGACATCAACGCGGCAGAAATCATCCGGCGCCAGGGCCTCGCCCTGGTCAGGGCAGACGAACTCCCTGAGCATGCCGCCGGAAGCCCCAAGGGGCCACAAGCGCGACGACCCCTCCGTACCGGAGGAAGCGCAGCACGCAGGAACGCAGACCAGTCCGCCAACGCGGTCTGAATTTTGCAATCATCTAAAGTTACAATTTGACTATAAGCACTTGATGGCATTTAGGGAACAATGTAAAATACTAGCAACATGAAGGATTAAGTATTCCATTGTGCGGGTCATATCCAAGAGGGCACTACGGGTATTTTGGCAGCGCCATCCTGAAACCGAGGCATCGCTGCAGGCGTGGTTTCGGGAAGTTGAGAAAGAGGACTGGAGCACGCCAGCTCAGGTCATTGCGCGCTATCCCAATGCAAGCATAGTGGGGGCGGACCGGGTGGTATTCCGAGTCCGGCACAACGACATTCGAATCGTTGTCAGGGTGTTCTACCCGGGGCGACAGGTTTACATCCGCTTCGTTGGCACCCACACCGAGTATGACCGCATCGATGCAGAGGAGGTATAGCTATGGTACAAGTCCGGGCGATTCGCTCAGAGATGACTACGACGCTGCGCTGGCCCGGATCAACGAACTCATGGATGCACTGTCCGGTCCCGATGGCCAGATTGAGGACGCGGACAACCCGCACCGGGTAGATCTGGATGCTCTGACCGACCTCGTCGAATTCTATGAGGAGCGGAACCATTCCATCGGCTACCCCGACCCAGTATCCGCCATCAGGTTCCGCATGGACCAGGCCAACCTGACCCACCGCGACCTGGTGCCCTTCATTGGTAGCCGGGCCAAGGTCTCCGAGGTTCTCTCAGGGAAACGGGCCATAACCATGTCCATGGCCAGGGCACTTCACCAGCACCTGGGAATACCCGCCGAAGTGCTGCTTAGGGAACCGGGAGGCAGTCTGCCCGAGGATCTACCGGACATTGACTACTCCAGGTTTCCTCTGAACGCCATGGCCAAGGCTGGCTGGATTCCCAGGGTGCGAAACCTGAGAGATCAAGCTGAGGAACTGGTAACTGGGCTGATGGAACAGGCTGGAGGACGGCGGTTTGCTGCCGCTCCCCTATACCGGAAGAACGACAGCCGCAGAATCAACGCCAAGACTGACGATTACGCCCTCCGGGCGTGGTGCTGGCGAGTACTGGCCCAGGCCAGGAAGAACGAGCCTACCGTGGAGTACAACGCCGACGCCGTCACTCCCAAATTCATGCACAAGCTGGCGCGAATGAGCGTTCTGGAGAACGGCCCGATACAGGCCAGAGATCTCCTTGGTCAGCACGGGGTGGCCCTGGAGTACGTGCCTCACCTACCGAGGACGCACCTGGATGGCGCGGCCCTGCTTTTGCCGGATGGCAGGCCGGTGATCGGGCTCACTCTGAGGTTTGACCGGATAGACAACTTCTGGTTCACCCTGTTGCACGAGCTTGGCCACGTGGGTTCTCACATGAGCCTCTGTGGCGAGAATGCGGGCTTCGTCGACGACCACAGTCTTCGGAGGGTCCAGTCTGATGGGACAGACACCGTGGAACAGGAGGCAGACCAGCTGGCCCAAGATGCCCTGATACCTCCAGAGGTCTGGGACGACGGCGTCATCCTGGAAGAGCCCAATCCGATGGTGGTCCTGCAAATGGCATGGGAGGCCCAGGTGCACCCGGCGATCATCGCAGGCCGCGTTCGGCATGAGCGGAGCAATTACAGGCTCCTCTCGCAGTTCGTGGGCACCGGTGAGGTGCGGCGGCAGTTCGAAGATCAGTTGGGATGAGGATTGAGGTGGCATCTATAGAAGTTAAGCCAATTTTTGCCGACGCACGTTAGATACAGGACACTAGCATTGGCATGGAACTATTCTCCTCTCAGCAGGCGGTTTTCCTCTTCCAATTCCTGGACCCTGGCCTCGGCTCGTATGCGTCCCTCAAGTTGGTCCTCATAGGTTGGTATGGGCGCCTCCGTTGCCGGGTCCCACCAGACCAGCTGCTCGTGCTCCCATCTGACTATGAGGTTCAGGGCCTGGCTGTACCCCTGGAGGGTCCCGGGGGCCACTTCTTCAATGGATAGTGGTCTGTAGGCATTTCCCGCCAAGATGTCGCCGGCCAGCTTGGCGCCGTACAGGTCTCCGGTCTTATCGAAGCGCCAGTACTCCAGGATGCCCAGGGCCGCGTAGTCAGTCCTTTTGGCACCGGTGTCCACGTCGGCCGTGCTCTCGGAGGCAACTTCCATAACGAAGTCCGGCGGCTTGCCCTGCTCGGAAATGATGTAGCCGTTGCTGGCTGCGTAGTCCTCCGGGCTGACGTTGAAGGCTATGAGCAGGTCCGGCCTCCTGGCCCTGGCCCGGTTGTCCTCGGGGGACGCAACTATCCAGCGGTCGGCGACTACCAGGGTAGTGTCTGGGTTGCCGAAGTGCAGGGCCAGGTACCGGTTGTTGCCGTGTTGATAGATATGGTCGAATGCAGTCACCTCGTCCAGTTCTCTCGGGGGCGGGTCTGGGAGCTTGAACCTGCCCGCTCTATGGAGGATGTTTTCGATGGTCATTTCGCACCTTGCTCCTCAGGTCGGGTGGAGTCCCATCTTCTGGGTGGGATGTTGCCGTGTAGGCTTGATGTTACGAATGTGGTGTCACTTGGTCAAACGCGATTCGGCTGATTAACGATTTGGGTGAGGCAATGCGCCGGGTGGAGCGGTCGCAGGGAGTGAGCTAGCGGG